AGTACAGAGACTGCTGTCATAATTTACCCAACTAAAAATGAATGGCACAACATAAATGGAATGGCCAAAATGTTGTAATACAAGATGAAATATAACTATATTTTTTCATGGGTTATTATTAAATAGTATTAAATTTTCAATTTTTAATTTGACCAAACACTACCTTGTGACTAATAATTTTGCTTTTTTTTTTTTTTTTTTTTTTTGGGGAGAGGGGGGACCAAGTTTGTACACACACCATATTTAATAATAATTCTTTCAAGGTTTTAAAATAATTTTTGAGAAATTATGAAGTAGTTCATTTGCCACGTGCAAAACAAGTGCTCTTTCACTAGTATTAGTATATATGCACACCCACATGGATGTGCTTGAAATATATAGCAGTTATATAGACACTTATAAATGATCGTTAGTGTAGAATAAGACAGAAAGATAGTTTAAATATAATCAGAAATGAAGGAGGGGAATTTAGGAATATAAAAATCTGGCATTGAGGAGAAAAAAAGGTCTTAAGACACCAACAGAGGTGTTCCCTTTATATATCGTAGTATAGACAGATGGATTTGTATATAATTACATCTTTATTGTCATAGATCAAAGAAATATTACATAACGGTAAAATATATATAAATAAGAGTAATTGAGAGTGCAAACTATATTATGGTGAAACTTCTCTCATCCCAATGAGGTTGACACAAAAATTCAAGTCCAATCATATACAATTACAAATCGAAAGTAAAAAATTTCAAAGGTTCGAACCAAAAATTTCAAAATGAAGCAACAACAATTCTGAAAATTACTAACAAATTTAAGAACAATAATACTACAATATCCAAAAAAAAAAATTCAAAATTCAACATCAATGACCAAGATTCATTTAAAGTGTGGCCCACAACAAAAATTTTGAATATACACCATGCATTTTAAATTCATGATATTTTTCCAGTTAATTTCTGATTGCTTAGACTTGTCAATTCAAAAACAATCCACACTATAGGAAATTAAACTTTTCCCGACTAAAATTTTAGTTGCAAAAAGGTTGTTTTTAGTTGGCAAAAACATTCTACGACAAAAAATTTTGGTCGCCACTTGGGTCACTAATACATGGTCGAGGAAAGTAATCCGCGAATAAAAAAAAATATTAGTCAACAAAAATAAGTATTTGACGACTAAATTTTTGGTCATTAAACATATAACTACCGTGACTAAAAACGTTAGTCACCAAAAGTACTATTTCCCCGACCAACAATAAAGTCGCCAAAATTGTAATTTCCTGTAGTGCCAAGTGAATAACCAGAAAAAAAAAAAAAAAAAAAAAAAAAAAAAAAAAAAAAAAAAAAAAAAAAAAAAAAGAGGAAAACCTTAACCAAAGACACTTGTAGCAACAAACCACATAGCAAAACAATTGCACCAACCATAACCAAGAAAACAACCATGGAATGGGAATTGTTAATTCCATGCTTTGAAAAATTTTAATAGATATTTCTAAACTATTCCGTTCATTTTTTTAGGTTTCAATGTAAATTATCTACGAAAAATATAGGTTGATTAATCCAATAATCATAGCAATGTAAATTAATCATCTACGTCTACTAAAACCTAAAATATGAACAGAATAGTTTTTGATTATCACAGGCATGTAATTTATCATCTTGGTTCTATAGATATTGCCATGGTGACTCAACATCACCTTAACAGTTAGCTAAATAGAAAGAAAATTATAAGTTTAGCACACATAATTTATATAGTTATTGTTGTTATGCATAGTTTGATGATTCCAAAAAAAAATTAAACAAAATAAAGTTCAAAATCTAGGTCGATAAATGTTTCGCCATTATTTTATCCATAGGAAACTTCCTTGAAGATTTTCTTGTCAAAGAAAATCAAAGTTGATGTATGGAACATTTGCACCATTATTAGGAGCTGAAGAAGTAGCATCTTTAGATTTGTTAACTTGTCCAAGGGTTGTTTCTCCTTCTACCTCTAGATTTTCCTCCATCTCATTCTCTTTATTTTCTGTAAACAAATCAAAAATTGAATATAATATAAAGAGAATATAAAAGAAAATACATGAAAACACTATTATTAATTTTGGTAAAGTTAAAATGTACGAAGCATGGACACGGACACGCAATACGACATGGATATGACACAGACACACAGAGACGTCAATTTTTAAAAAATGCGAGACGCGATACGTGGGAGACATGTACGAAATATATAATTTTATAAATTTATTATATGTCATATATATATATGAATATATTTCAAAGATAATGAAAAAAACGCTACATGGCACTAATTCTAATAAATTTATATGATTGTTCTTTTATTATTGTATCTGAAGTTATTTTATTTAAACTTATAATTAGTTTTACATGTGCATAATTGATAGATACATGTTTAAACGATAGACACATGTGTTTTCCAAGTATCCGAAGAGTATTGTAGTGTTAAAAAAATAAATTAAAAAATGAATACATTTTGACTAGTGTTGGACACATATTAGGAAGTGTTGAAAGAGCGTCAAAGTCTGACACGAATACGACACAGATATGTCACCTTCTTAGAAGTGTGACCCCCCAAAAATTAAGAACATCAGGGAATATATTAACAAATAAATACAAGGTTCTTCTAAGGTTACAAGTCTAGGGAATGTCATTAATGAGTCATTTAGTTAATAAGCAAGTGAGATCCCAAGAAAGATCAAATGAGTCAATATAGTCTCCCTTCAAAATACAATCTCCTTAGATAGCAAAGCTACCTTTTTTATAGATCTTAATTAGGTATTAACACAAGGTGTACATAAGTTGACGGAAGGATAAGGATAAGTTTACAAAAGATATATGTATATATAAGTAAAATAATAATTACAATATCATATCTTAATTATGACAAAAGTTTTAACACTTACAATCCTAAAACATTATTATTAATTCCTATAGGATAGCCCTATACTTTCAAATGTTTTTGCTTCACCATCGTCCACGTAAATTTCGCCAATACCTGTCATGAAACACCATGAGTTTGGAATGCCCAATAAACGCACACACTCATCGTCCATTTTTCCCAATCCAATAGACAACCATATTTACAATAAAGAAGAAGTATAATAATCAAGTAAACAGGCAAAGGATTACAAATTAGGTGTTAGTAATTTAGAAATCTCCCAAAGAGATTTCATCCTCCCAACCACAAGATATGGACTCTGATTATTCGGTATGCCCCTTCTTTTGTTGCTTTACAGACCTTACCCGAAATGGCTACAACAGTTACATACCGCTTAGTGCCAACCGAGGACCTTAAAAGAGACTATAAAATATATAACCTCCTCTAACCTTATCTGTCATAAGTACCTAGGATTCGAATACAACCAATCCATTCAAGGGTTATAAAACAACTATTTGCACAAGACTTAACCTTTAATAAGGAACATGTCCTGCCAACCAATTCAAATGTAATACAAGTATTATCTTATGAAATTACTCAACTGATCGAAAACCCATTTACCACCCCAATAAAGGTTCATGTTGAGTTAAATATTTTAAGTAAAGTTTAGATCAAACTTGTTAGATTTTTGTAATTGGCAATCCCGTTTGATAAAACTCCTTTCAATTGTAATTTTATTTGCTCCTTTGTTTCAGTAAGGTTATGAGTGTTTAGATGCGAATCCAACTCAAATTGTACTTGTCTAGAGGAGTTTATACTAACATTTCGTATCTTGAGCATTCTTTGTTTACCACTTCGATAATTATGTACGAGGATCAAGCTAAGCCAAAGTTGTTTGACCACTCGAGCTGTCATTTGTGCACTCTAGCGGTGAAGTGGAGCTTCCAGTATTTCAGCCTGCATTCAGAACTTCTGGAAACCTCGTTTTACCGCTCGAGTAGTTAAGTGTGCACTCAAGCGGTTGGCCTATATATTTTGCACCGCCTTTACTCACATTGTTCGAGTGGTCAAGTGGTGGCTCGAGCAGTCATCGCGACTCTATTTACTATAAAGTGCATTGTTTGCTATTTTTAGGAATTAACTCGTCCAGATTCTCAGAGGAAAAAAAATACAAAGTGTTCTACATTTGAGGGTGTTTTTATATGAGTTTTCTTGATGTATAAAAGGTAACCGATTGATCAACGAACTACAGAGTGTTGAACATCAAGGCAACCTTGTTCTACAGCATAAATTTAAAGGAATATAACCACAAACATATGTTGATGTCATACTAAGATTTAAACAAACAATAAGAAGCATAATCAAGTAACTAAGAACATGAAACCATTAACAAAACAAATTTTCATATTCGGTTCACTTTAAAAATCACTATCAAAGTAGCATTTTTAGATTTTTTTTGAACTCGACCTTCCAAAGGTTTATAAATTTTTTTATCTAGTTTCAAGATCATTTTTGAAATGGGATAGTTTTTCTAAATTTTTAATTATTAAAGAAATACTCTAGTTCTGTTCAGATTAGTTGGCTCTTACGAAAATTAGATTTTCTTTCAAATCACTCACTCTCTTTTAACAAAACCAATATTACTTGAAAGTTAACACTTAAAAAATGTCTAAATTGGAAAAAAGAAATTTAACAAATGAGGGGAGTTATATATTATAATTTTTAATTCAAGTATATCTAACATTTAAATAATTTCTTTAAAAATGTGCCCTTTTTTTTCAAACTTAAAAGGTCAATTCATTCGTTCGTGGTAAAGAATTCAAATTCTTTGATGGAAACAAAAAGTAGTAGTCTGTTTAAAGTTAGGGACAGATAAAAGCACTGTCGAGACAAAAACAAAAACCAAATATGAGAGAATTCTGAGATAAGACTTCGATTCCAACATTGCAATGACTTGTGCAACTGAACAAATTAGAGAAGACGATGCTTCAAGGGATGAGAATGGTAGAGAGAGAGAGAGTTTAGAGAGAGAAACAGCTGATGCAGAGTAGAAGAAGAAGCAGAGCAGAAACAGAGGATTTTGGATTACAAGCTGATACAAAACTACCCAAATGTTGTCTTGTTCACCAAAGAAATCTCCGAGCTGGTCTCAACTCTGGCTCAAGAACAAGAAAGCCCTCAACCATGTAGTCTTCACTATGAAGCTCCAATCTCTCTCCAAACCACCTCTCACCAATCTCACCCCTGAATCGAACAAAACCCTAGTGTTCGATCGCTCAAAGCTCGTCTCAAATCGAACCTCACTCCTCTCCGACGAGTTTCTCCTCCGAATCCTCTCCAAACTCCCCCAATCTCAGAGAAATTCGATTTTTCTAGTCTCCAAACGGTGGTTGAATCTCCAAGGCCGTCTTGTTCGATCCCTCAAGCTTCTTGATTGGAACTTCCTCATATCGGGTCGATTATTTGCTCGATTCCCAAATCGTATTCATGTTGATTTGGTTCATGGATGTTTTGTTTCGCCTCGAAACTCAGGTGTTCTGTTGAACCATAAACTAGTTTCCGTCCACATTGATTCTAATGTTTCTCCAAATGGGTTTTTGTCCACATTGCTTCCTTGTTCTCTTTCTCCTTTAGAACATACAGATACAGATGAATTTACCTTGATTAAGTCTATAGGTTCTTGTAGTCATATGTGCTTTGGAGGAACTGAAAGAAAAGCTTAATGAGTTCTCATATGACCACCTATGGCTTTTTCATTAAAGAAGCATTTTAAGAAAATTTAACATGTATATTTCTCCATTGATGGGGATGGTCGATGGCTTGTTCACTCATATCGGTATTTATGGTGTTCCAAAATAGTTAGCAACTTAAATGATGAGTAAATGACAAGTAAGCTTGACCAAATAAATGTAACCAATCGAAAGTCTGAAACATATACAAATTAGATTGCGCTTAGAATAATATGTATATCTGTAATTCCAGGATGTTGTCTTTTACCCTCCTGCTTCAATTTTTCAAGACCAATAATTGAAATTAGCCGCCAAAAACATATTTTTTGCAACTATATCATATTTGTCGTGAAAAATAAAATAAAATAAATTGGCTACCAAATTGGTTTTTAGTAGGCAAATGGAATTTTCTTTCACAACAAAAAATTATTTAGTCGGCAAAAGTGTAATTTATTGTAGTGATTTATTGAATCTGTGGAGTTCTTGTGCTTTAATCGTTGTTAGGGTCTGAGTCTGACTTCGTGTTTGAATCCTGGTGGAGTAAGCGTCAACAGTGGTGTGATCATCAACACCATTGTTGTCCTTTTTTCTTTATTCACTTTCATTCTCACATGTTTCATTTTCCTCCATCTTCTGTTTTCTTTTTTCTCTTTTCCCCCTGACACAGTCATCATCATCATTGTTGTTGTTTTTCCTTTCTTCACCTTCATTCTCACATGTTGTTATGTTTTCTTCCATCTTCTATTTTCCTTTTTTCTTATTTTCATTTCTCATCATCCTTCCATTGACCATAGCAAGGGTCATTATAATAAGAGCAACATCTTCAACAGGTGAAGTAACATAAATCAAATTTGTTTCATTTTGCTTTACTGGTAAATCAACTATACATGTTAGTAGATTTAAAAACAAAGAAATAACAAGTTAAGAAGCTTTCTTTTTTTAAAACAAACCAAATGTTGCCCTCTTACAGTGATAGCACCATGCTATCATGACACTGGCCCTGTATCTTATGTAAACAATATAAAGAGAATGGAAGATTTAAAAAAAAAAATTAAAAATCAAAATCTTGTTTTCTTAATCAATTGAGCACTAAAATTACCTCACATAAGGAATTACTAGCTAAGAAGGTTTATTTTTTTAAAGAAACTAAATGTTGCCCGGTTGTTTTGACACCATGGTGCTATCACAGTACTGGCCTTTTGTCTTATGTAAACAATATAAAGAGAAAGCAAGATTTAAAATAAAATAAAATAACTGTTAGGTTTTATTCTTGGCAATCCCGTTTGACAAAACTCCTTTGAGTTGTAATTTTATTCGCACTTTTTATTTCAGTGAGGCTATGAGTGTTTAGATGCGAATCTAACCCGAATTGTGCTTTTCAGAGAAGTTTGTGATGATAAAGCGTTCAAGATTGCCACTTCGCTGATTATGACGGGGATGCAAAAATGCATTCAAAGTTGCCTGTCCGATCATGTTATATTTTTTCCAGTTTTTCTAGTTTTGGCCTTCCCGCTCGAGCGGGAAAAGGGACGCTCGAGCGGGGATTGGAAGCTCTCAGCATCTCTGCAGTCGCCTGAAAAAATACTGGTGGGTGTGATTTTACGCTCGAGCGGATTCTCTTTCCTTTCTTCACCTTCATTCTCACATGTTGTTATGTTTTCTTCCATCTTCTATTTTCCTTTTTTCTTATTTTCATTTCTCATCATTCTTCCATTGACCATAGCAAGGGTCATTATAATAAGAGCAACATCTTCAACAGGTGAAGTAACATAAATCAAATTTGTTTCATTTTGCTTTACTGGTAAATCAACTATACATGTTAGTAGATTTAAAAACAAAGAAATAACAAGTTAAGAAGCTTTCTTTTTTTAAAACAAACCAAATGTTGCCCTCTTACAGTGATAGCACCATGCTATCATGACACTGGCCCTGTATCTTATGTAAACAATATAAAGAGAATGGAAGATTTAAAAAAAAAAATTAAAAATCAAAATCTTGTTTTCTTAATCAATTGAGCACTAAAATTACCTCACATAAGGAATTACTAGCTAAGAAGGCTTATTTTTTTAAAGAAACTAAATGTTGCCTGGTTGTTTTGACACCATGGTGCTATCACAGTACTGGCCTTTTGTCCTATGTAAACAATATAAAGAGAAAGCAAGATTTAAAATAAAATAAAATAACTATATCAAAATCTTGTTTCCTTAATTAATTGTGCACTAAATTTTCCTGACATGTTGATGTTGGTAGATTTAAAAACACAAAAATTACAAGTTAAGAAATAAATGTAGCTAAAATGCAATGATAAACATATAGTATCAATCATAATTATTTTGATAATGATGATCACTAACATATAAAATAAAACATTTAAGAAAAAATATAGAAATTTATAACATCGAACGCTAGATTGTGCAAATCTCTAGACGTAAGATCACTTCTTTTGTCACAATGTTGAGATTTAAACTTTTAACACAACGTTTTATTTTCGATTTCCATTTTGTTTTTTCTTCTTCACCCTTGTCACGATCATCATCATTATTGTTGTCGTTCTTCCTTTCTTCACCTTCATTCTTACATGTTGTTATGTTTTCTCTCATTTCTTTTTTCCTTTCTCTTTTTTTCCCTTGCCATCATCCTTTCATTTACCTTTACAAAGCATCATAATAATTAGAGCAACCTTTTCATCAACATGTGGAGGGCAGAAATCAAACATGTTTCTTTTTGCTTTACTAGTAAATCACCTAATTCATCAATTGATTTGCATTGTTTTGCTGACTTTCGGTTTATCTTTTGCATTGATTCACTGTTGCTTCCTTCTTCTCTTTCGCCTTTAGAATATACAAATACAGATGAATTTACCTTGATTAGGTCTACAGGTTCTTGAAGTCCTATGGGCTTTGGAGGAACTGGAAGAAAAGCCAAATGAGTTCTCATAAAAACACCACCTATGGCTTTTCCATTAGAGAAGCATTTTGACATGTATATTTCTCCATTGATGGGAATGTTCGACGACTTGTCCACTCATATGGGTCAGTTTATAGTGTTGCAAAATGGTTATTGACTTAAATGATAAGTAAATGACAGGTAGGCATGACCAAATAAATGTAACCGATCAAAAGTCTAAAACAAATACAAACTAGATTAAGCTTAGAATAATAAAATAAATACATCTATAATTCCAAGAGATTGTCTTTTACTCTCCCGGTTTGATTTTTCATGTCCAAAAATTTAAATTCATCGCCAAAAACATGATTTTTGCAACTAAATCATGTTAGTCGTGGAAAATAAAAACATGATTTTTGTGACCAAATTGTTTTTTGGTCGGCAAATATAATTTTTTGGCAATGACAAATTGTTTAGTCGGCAAAAGTGTAATTTCTGGTAGTGATTTATCGCATCTATGGAGTTCGTGTGCTTTAACCCTCATTAGGGTCTGAGTCTGACTTCAAGTTTGAATCCTAGTGGAGTACATTTTGTTATCGTCGGCAGTGGTGTGATCATTAGCATCATTGTTGTCATTTTTTATTTCTTCACCCTCATTCTCACATATTGTTTCGTTTTCCTCCATCTTCCGTTTTCTTTGTTCTCCTTCCCCTTACCCGAATCATAATCATCATTGTTGTCATTTTTCCTTTCTTCACCTTCATTCTCATATATTATATTGTTTTCTTCCATCTTCTGTTTTCCTTTTTTCTTCTTTTCCCTTGCCATCATCCTTCCATTTACTATTAGCAAGCATCATAATAATAAGAGCAACCTATCTAACAAGTGAAATAAAAGAAATCAAATTGTTTCCTTTTGCTTTACTAGTAAAGCACCTATAGACATTGGCAAATTAAAAATAAAAGAATTACAAGTTAAGAAACCTTCTTTTTTTAAAACAAAATAAATGTTTCCTCTTGTTGTGATAGCATCGTACTGTCATGGCACTGGCCATATATCCTATGCAAACAATATAAAGAGAATGCAATATTATTATTTTTTTTTAAAAAAAAAATCAATCTTATTTTCTTAATCAATTGTGCACTAAAATTGCCTCACATATAGATGTTGGAAGATTTAAAAACAAAGGAATTACAAGTTAAGAAGGCTTATTTTTTAGGAAAAAAAAACGCTACCTGGTTGTTCTGACAGCATGGTGCTATCACAGTACTGGCCCTGTGTCCTATGTAAACAATATAAAAAGATTGCAAGATTTAAAAAATAAAGAAAATAAAATAAATCTAAATATCGTTTCCTTAATCAATTGTGCACTAAATTTGCTTGACATGTAAATGTTGGTAGCTTTAAAAATAAAGGAATTACAAGTTAAGAAATAAATGTAGTTAAAATGGAATGATAAACATAATACCAACCATAATTATTCTGATAATGATGATGACCTACATATAAAATAAAACATTTAAGAAAAAATATGAAAATATGACCAAATGAACCCTAGATTGTGCAAATCTCATGAAGTAAGATCACTTCTTTTGTCATAATGTTGAGATTTTAACTTTTAACACAACATTTATTTTCAATTTCCATTTTCTTTTTCTTCTTTTCCCTTGTCGTGATCATCATCATTATTGTAGTCATTTTTCCTTTCTTCACGTTCATTTTGTGGTCTATCACTTAGCCCTCGGCACCTCATGAAGCATCAAGTCTAACACTCGACTCCCATTGAGTGTTATCAATCCTTTTAGGACCACACCTGCGAGAATTGCCTGAGGTTTTCTCGACCTGCTAGAGGGGAAGTTTTGCATGAGTCTCAGGATTAGTCGGGATCTACTCAAGTACTCGATTATTGAAAAATATTAAGTAAAGCTATTTTATGGTTGTTTGGTTTATGGGAATTCAAGGGGGGTAAAAACTAAGGGTGGAAAGGAAACTAGTGTTATTCGTTTGGATTAACATTGAAAAAACAAAATAAGAATAACATAAAAATTGAGAATTTATTTATCCCTTCAATGTCCTCGATTAAGTTTAGTTTTTTTTTTTTTTTTCCA